TTTGTGCCCATGGCTTGTAGGAGGTGGCAACTTTGCAACGAGTGTGGTTGCGGAGGGGGGGAAGGGGGTGAGAGATCCCGCGTGCTCAGGCTGAGGAAAGGAGGGAGATGCCGGGCTGAGAGCCGGTTTCCAGCGCTCAGGAAGGAGGAAGCACACTTGCCGAAGGGGCAGGGCGGGCCGCAGGGCTCAGAGGGCGGCAAAGCAGACATGCATGAGACGTGAGAGAAGACCAAGGCCGCGGGCCAGGGGAGGGGAGCAGGGCCCCGCCCATCGCCCCCCGCCTCGGTCTGGGCCCCCGTCAGTGTCCCGCCGATGACGTCAGCCGCGCGGGTGCTGGGTAGCTGTTTTGGTACAAAGCTCGTCTCCGCTCCTTGCCGCCGGCGCACGCTCCCGGGAGCCGCCTCCGAAGAAACCGTCCCGACGGAGCCCGGCCTTGGGGCGAGCTCCGGCTCCCCTTGCCGGAGGGGCAGTCCCCGTCCCCCGGCCCCCGCCGCAAGCTCTCGGCCCTCTCCGCCCCTCCTCCCTCGTGGCCCGCCGCTGCCGGGCTTGCTGGGCGAGTCCCCCGACCTCGTCTCGCGTGCAGTTCTCCCCGCCGGCTCGGGCTGGCCCCACCTGCCCCAGGAGCAGGGCTCCTGCCCGAGGCCTTGTTCCACGCGGGGCAACACGAGAGCGGCCTGCGCTCATTTTCCCTGGCTCTTGCGCACAGTGCCTGGCATCGGGCACCTGTGTGTGCCGTGTGTGTGCAAGTCCGAGCATTCGGGGTCCATCGTGCAAGAAAGCGGAGAGGGACAGCGGGACATTAGGAGCCGTATCAATGCGGCGTGGGCAAAATAGAAGGAAGTGAGTGGAGCTGCTTTTTGATGGGAAAACACGGCTTCTTCTACAGGGAAAAGTCTGCGGCCCGGGCCAGAGCGGTGCGGGCAGCAAGGAAACGACAGCTGTCTGTGGGGAGGGGTGCTGTGGGTGGAGGGCTCCCGGGGGCATTTGTGGAGCCAGCAAGAAGGGCCGTGACAGAAAGGAGGGGGTGCAGCTGCAGACCCCTTGGCAGTCTTCCTTGAGGGCATTGCCCTGAGCAGTGGGCAGCCCTAGCCGAGGGGCCTGTCGCTCTCGGGGCTGGGCAGCAGCATCTGATCTGTTGCCAGGCAGAGCAGGCCCCATTTCAGTCTTTTTGACACTTCTGCCTTGTACAGGAAAGAGGGAACAACTGGGTCACCATGGGCCCAGCCCGCATGTAAGGGCACCCCTTGAAGATGGGGTCCCCTTCTCTGTTGGTCACTCATTGCCTCCCAACCACCAAGGGCATCTGGCCCTAGAGTCCCTGCGCCCCCCTGATCTCCCTGCATTTTCCCTGTCCTTTGCTCCCACCCCTGCCCTCTGCCCCAAGCCAGCCCCTGAGGTGCTGCATGGAGCGGGCCATGTTCCCGAGGGGCTCAAGGGCTACCCCAGACTTCCCAACTCTTGCCCCAGCTCACAGCAAAGGGGTCCAGCAGGCTGCCGTGCTCCACCTGGCAGGTGTAGACGTCCCCGCTCCGGGGGGTCATTTCCAGCATCACCAGGATCTGGAAGGTCCAGTCTCCGTTCTGCATCATCTCCGTGGACACCACTCCGGCCGTCTGCTCCTGCCCGTTCTTCAACCACTTGACCTTGATCCCACTTGTGTAAAACCCCATCACAGAGCAAACCAACCTGTTGGAGTGGGGCTAGGCCTCTTATTTTGTGGGAAAGATGCATCCTCCTCCTCCTGCATTGGGAAATGCTCTTGTTGGGGCAGGTGGGCACAGGACAGGAGAACTGATCCCTGGACCAGGGGCCTGCTGCCCACCGAATTCCTGGTCTGGGCAAGGAGAGGCTGACCAGGGAAGGTGAGGCTGCGGGTAAGAAAAGGTGATTGCTGTGCCCTCCATTCCAGGAGCATGTGGGAAACAGTCTAGGGGAGGAAGGGGAAGCCACCTGGATGTAACGTGATCTCACAGACCTACCGCCTGCCTCCTGTTCCCCTCTTGCATGTCTTCTGTCTCCCAAACCCCTAACTGCTCTGATCCCACTAGCCCACAGTGTGGATCTACTGAGCTGCCCAGCGCCTGCCCACAGAGGGGCTCCCTGGGCACATGGGGGTCTCTGCTCACTTGGTGGCTCTGTGCTGTAGCCAGACCTGATGGCTACACTTAACAATGAACCTGCAGGCAGCTTCTGAATTATACAGACTAAAACACAAAACAGGAATCGAGCTTACAAATCTATAAATGCCACAAAAGAAAGTTGTTTGCTATTAGCTGTTAACAGACCAAAGGTGGGGAATATCGCTCACAAGGATTGGAAGATACTAGCTACAGCCTTTGTGAAAAGCCTTACACCATGGGGTTTATGCAATGATTTCCCTCCCCTTCCCCCCCAGAATGTAGCACTTAAATGCACCACCTGGTTCATTCTGGGCTCAGTGCTGTTTTGGGTGGGTTGCTAGGTGCCCTGGGCTGAGCTCACAGTGTGACCTTGGCCTTTCCCTGTTCCTGGCAGGCTATCACCCCTGAACAGGAGGATCCCCACTTTGGACCAAGGGGGAAACAGGCACCAGGGCATGAGGTGCCTGGCCTCAGTTCAGGCAGGGAATCTGGGATTACAAGCTAGGAGTCTTTTTTTCCCCCCCTGCAAGCATCCTTCCAGCCTTCCCTAAGGACTGGTCTGCTGCCTCCTCAGGCATTGAACTACTGGTGCTTGCCCCCAGGGAAGAAAGTGCAGCCAGGGAAATGGATGTTTGTTTGAATTACGGTGCTGCGGTGAAAACAGGAAGAACACAGGGTTTGCTCTGTTACAGACTATGCAGTGCCCTGGCAGTGCGTTTTCAAAATCAGGGAAGTTCAGAACAAGCTGTTTAAAGACATAGGAGAGGCAAGGGTTTTTTTTGGTGATACCTTTAATTGAACCCAACTATCTTGATGGAAGAGATGGTAGCTTTCAGGTACAGATTGCCCTTCTTCAAGTCTGGGAAAGAAGCAGACACAGCTAGAGCTGAACAGCAGATAGAACGGTAGCATGTATGTAAATGCAAACAGTCTGCTTCAGGAGTGGCTGCAAAATAGGAGCAAAGAGGTATCGGGAGCAGTTACAAAATCAGAGAAGAGCAGTGGAATAGAGAACCTAATTAACGGAAGAGCAGCCAAGAGGGAAAAAGAGTCCTTATTACTTGTGGAGTGCAGAGAGAGTAGCTGAGATTTGGTTGTTATAATGCTGTGACTTAAGCACGAGGACGAGAGGGTAGGAAAGGGGCGTGTGTCCTGTGGAAGGTGTTCTCCTGCCTGTGTGCATGCGACTGGCCTCTATTTTTTGTGTGCTAATTTTGAGGCATAGTCTTTCATTAGCTGCCTCCATTTTGCTTCCATGAGGGCATTTGGTGTGTTGGGTGAGAGAGGCCCTGCTCTGGGATAGATGCGTGGGATTTCTGGATTCTGATTACGTCTATGACTGGTTTGGGGGATGAGATGGGTGTTCACTGTGGTGGCAGTGGAGGTGCGTTTATTAGTGAGTTGGAGTCTGTTGATCAGCAAGGAATTTGCCTCTGATGAGTTGGGCCAGGTGTGGAAGTTGTTTGAAAGCTGGGCATTTTCAAGTCAGCAGGGCTGGACATAATGCATCCTAGGGTACCCAACAGGTGTGCTGAAATAACTGCAGAGCCACTGCCTATTCTTTTTGGGGATTCACAGAGGCTGGGTGTGGTCCCAGATGCCTGGAAAGGGGCCCAACTTTTAAAAAGGAAATAATGAGAAACCAGGGAATTACAGAGCAGTCAGCCTCATCCCAACATCTGGAGTGCCCTAGACCATATCAGAAAAGAATCTGTTTCTATGGGCCAAGAGGCTCTCTAGGTGATCAATAAGGACACAGACCTACACTCAGGACAGAACAACCTCGTGCATGAGCAGACAAGAGAATAAGCAGCTAAATGACAGTACTGCAGGAAAAGATCTGGGCAGTAGAGTGAACCACAAGCTAAACATGAGCCAGTAGCATACTCCTGTTGCAAGAAAAGCCAATAGCTTCCTGGCCTGTATTCACAAGAGGGTTGCTTGCATTGATTCTTCCACCCTGTTCAGCATGGGTGAGGCTTCACCTGGAGTATTGGGTCCGGTTCTGGACACTGCACTACAAGAGACATGGGGAAACTGGGGCGAGTACAGGAGAGCGACAATGACTGAAAAACATGACTTGCACAGGAAGGCCGAAAGAACTACAATGGTGAGCCTGGGAGAAGAGGAGACTGAAGGTGGTTTGATAACACTGCAGATACATAAAGAATTTGTAATCAAAACTGGTGGAAGAGATGACATCTTTTTTATTAGACCAACTAGATATTTGCAAACAAAGAGCTTGGAGGTGTTCTCTATGGACCCAGGAAGTAATGGTTTGAACTGGCAACAAGGGTGATCTAGGCTGGGTATTAGGGAAGACCTGACTCCAAGGGTGGCTCAGTGTTGGCACAGATGTATTAGGTTGCAGTGTCCATCGTGGGAGGTTTTTAACAACAGGTTAGACAGTCCCTCAGCTGGGATAGTGTAGACAGGGCTGTTCCTGCCTTGGGCTAGCTGTGATCCCTGTCAGTCCTGTTTTTCTGATTCTGTCAGCCTGGACAGCTGGTGTTCCTTGGGGATCCATCATAGGACCATATCCTGATTAACACTTTCATTGGTGGCCTTGGTACTGGGATGAAACGTGTCCTCCATGAGATTCATGGGTGATGCTACATGGGGTGGTTTGCTAGTAAGAAAGGGCTGGACCATTCTATGGAAAAATGGAGATCGTGTTGGATGGAGCATTGGAAACAGTGGGAGATGTAACAGCAGATGCACTGAGGGACCAGTAACAGGAGGTCAGCTACACAACAGCGATGGGGACATGTAAACTAGAGACAGCACAGGAGAGGGAGCTGGGACATCGGCTGATTGCAGAATGAGGCTGAGATGCCCGAGCGACGCGTCTAGGGAACAGGCTAACAGCATCCTAGGGTGGACGGGATGGATACATGCAGTAGACAGAGGTGCGAGTACTGCTCTGAGACCCCATTTATCTGGGACCACAGCAGCCTCAAAAACCAAAAAAGAAACATGGGAGAGACCTAGGCAGGAGGAGCTGGCTTTGGTTGGGTCAAACTCCAGCTGCCTCCCTTGTGGCATGGACTGTCCTTCAACAGAAACACAAGTCGACCACACTGGCCCCCAGGCTTGAGGCCAGTGCCCCACAGCTCACTGCTATAGTCAGTTCTTCTCCTAGGACCCAGGCGATGCCTCAGCACATCTGAGTGACATGGTTTGGGGCTCTGAGCAAGCCCCTCACCTCTCCCCAGCTGAAGCCATCTGACTCTTCCGCTCCTTTTCAAGTGGACCTAGAACTAATGTCCTGTGTATCCACTGCCCACCCAGCCGGGATTAGGGCTGAAATCGAAAGCATGATGCAGGCACTGGCCCCCCACTCCCCTCTGAGCTGAGAAAGGTCCTGGCTCCCCAGCTTTGGGAAGGGTATCAGGTGCATAGGGAAGGGGAGAGGGGCCCTCCTGGTTTGAACTGGGGCCACAGTGAATCATTCTACAGCAGGTGGGTCCACAGCACCACTATCCCAACCCCCACTTGTACTCAGTGCCCCACTGCCCCCCACGGACCCCAGACAGAGCACCGGAGGTTGCTGATACTATGAGAGAGTTTATTGTTACCTGACAAAACCAGACTGTCACGTACAAACACCAGGGTATGGGGTGGGGGAAAAACACAGAGTCCATCCCTGCAGCACCTCCCCACCCCTGCCATGGGGTGGGCTGCCAGAGAGCTGGTCCCACCTGTGCTGGGAACAGCTGCTCTGCCCTCCATGTGCTGCGTTGGGCAGGGGGCCCTAGAAGTTGGGCTTGTGTTTCTTCAGCTCAACCATGAGGTGGTGGATGTTGATAAGGTCGGCACGGGCAGGCAGGGCACGCAGGGGAGGCTGTGACAGCACCTTGTGGAAGCGGTGGTAATACTGGATCAGCTGTGTGAGTGCCCCCTGCAGGGAGACAAGTCAGGCACAGGGGTCAGGGCAGCACAGGGCTCGCACCACTTCCTCCGAGTCTCTCCCCAGACCCAGAAGCAGCTGGTGCCCCCCAACTAGGGAAGGCAGGCTGCCTCATGCCCCACCTGAATAATGCTAGTGCCGTTCTTGAAGTTGCTGAAAGATCTCATGACGTCCTGGCTCAGGGACTCCACAGAGGTCTTCCACGTGCTAGCGAAGCCCCGCACCAGCTGGGTTACACGGGCTGGGGGCAGATGGCACCCGGGGTCAGGGCACCCTGAGATTCCCCCACAACCCCTGCATGGGAGACACAGCCAGGGTAGGGGCAGGCCAGACTGACCTGGCCCACTGTGCTGTGCGGCTGGGAGTTGACGGAGGAGTAGGTCTCACCTAACCTCCCCCTTGTCCTTGCTGTGCAGTAACAGGATGCAAGGTATGGGGGCATCAGGGCTCAGGGGAGCCCAGCAAATCCCACATCTGCTGGTGTAGCTGAGAGTCAGGGGAGTGTGGGGGGTTCTAGGCTCATCGTATGCCAGGGGCAGGGGGTGAGAGTTGGGCTGCGGGGAGGGGCTGGACCAGGGTCCCTTCTCCATACCCTCCTCCCCACGGAGCCGGTCCAGCTGCCCCTTCTCGATGAGAGCCTCTGACTCCTTGACGAAGGCGATCATCCCGCCAAAGGGGGGTGACAGGATCTCCTCGATGAACTCCTGCGGGGGGGGGCGCAGGGTGCCGAGACACTGAACTGAGGAGGCCCACAGAGAGGACAGATAGCCCGGTTGCCCCAGCCCCACAATGCCCCCAGGGAGGGGCAGGCTACAGGGTGACTCACCTGAGTCCGGGCTGAGAGTAGCTGCTGGAAGCCCTCTACCTCCTTGCTTTCCTCCACTGCCCGCTCCTGCAAAGAGAACAGGGATCCACTGCGACCTGAGACCCCCAGGGCACTGGCTGGGGGTGGGAGGGACAGGCAGGGGAACAGCCCTGATGCACTGTATAGACAAGGGGTCTATTTGGATGGGGAGCAGGGGGTTGGGAGTCACTCCCACGAGAGCATGTGGGGGGTGTTACCATAAGGACACTCAGCATCATGTCATAGTTGTTGATGAGGAAGATAAGCTGCTCCTTGCGTGACGAGAACTCTGCCGCCACCCGCAGCACAAAGTTCTCCACCTCCACCTGGGTAGGGAACAGGTGCATGGGCATCAGTGGGACAGGACCTGCCTCCCCCAGATACCAGAGTCCCCTCCACCGGCATGCCCAGCCTGTCTGCAGAGGAGGGACATGCCACCAGCTCCCCTGCCCGCTGCAAGGCTCTGCTCAGTGCTGTACTTGCCACCCCTCCCTGCCCGCCCCATACCTGCAGCTGCCCCAGCAGGGCGTGGGTCCGCTCATTGGGGAAGGTCTGGTTGATGCTGACGATGGCAGAGGAGAACTCTGCGTAGCGCCGCGTGATCTAGAGGGGCAACAGGGTCAGAGTACTGCAGGGTTCCCTGCACCCTCCAAACACCCCTGGCAAAGCCTCAAGAACCTCACACCTACACAGCGGGAGTGCGCCCAATACACCACAGGCAAAGCCTCCCTCTTCCACCCCACAGGCTGCACAGACCCCAGCCCCTAGCCCGAGGCCCTTACATAGAGGGGGCGTGTGTCGAGGAAGCCCAGCTTCTGGGGGTCCATGTTCTGGATGCTCTGGATGTTCAGCTCCAGGATGTACTCAAAGCGTGGCCACAGGATCTCCAGCAGCGTGTCCCAGTACCTACCAGCGGGGGAGGTGGTCAGACACCAGATGCCAGCTCAGCTCAGGGATGAGGGTGGGGTCCCAGTCGGTTAAAGCAAAGCAGCGGGGGGTTGGGACCCAGGACTACTGGGGTCCATCTTCATTTGGAAATAGGAGCAGTGTCTAGTGGTTTAGAGCAAGGGAAACCAAGACTCCTCAAGTCAGGATTTGACATGGCCTGTTCACTCTGGTCCCTACTGATGGTGCTCTTGGTGCTGCAGAGGCGCTGTGTGGGAGGGAGCTTTCTGCTGCTCATACATGCTGGCACCTTCCAGTGCCAGGTGTCTGTGCCCTGATGCAGCTGGGAGAAGGGGGGGGGGGAATAAGGGCTGGGAGCAGCGGGCTCACAGTGTGGGACATGTCCCCAGGCACTTACTTGTCAACAGCCGGGATGTTGCGCTTGGCCATGATGGCCTTGAAGCGCAAGACGATGTGGATGCACAGGAAGACAGCGATGCTGTCGTAGCAGTCGCACACGTAGGCATCCATGTGTTTCTGGGGAAGGCAGCAGGTGAGGATGCGACCCCCCTGCACCGTGCCCCCTGCCCCAGCAAGACCCCAGCCACAGCTCCAGCCTGCTGTAACACCCCCCCCCACACACACACACCAGGAACATGGCAAGGGTCTTGCCCATGACAGTGTTGAAGAGGTCTTGGGCGCTGGGCCCCGTCACCATGAAGAAGTCGCAGAGGAAGAGGTACTCGCGGCAGCTGTTGTCCAGCAGAGCGTAGTGCTGGCTGCGGAACAGCGACTCGAAGGGGTACTGCAATGTGGGGGAAGCAGGGGAAGTGAACTCTGAACCCTCCCTGTCAAGGGTCTGGGGGACCCCCGGTGGTGACCCCTGCCCTCCCCCACCCCTGCTCACACGGACATCACTCTTCTGGGCCGTGTGTGGCACGATGATGGGCCCCTCCAGCTCGGCCGCCCCAATGACACTGCCCCGATTGCCCAGTGTGAAGATGGTGTTGCGATTCTTCAGCGATGGCTTGGAGAAGAAGCGTGGGGCTCACGAGTCAAGGGGAACACAAGGGAGATGCTGCTCCTCCCCCAACCCAACACCTCCCTGCCTCCTGCCCCGTGCCCCGGGGCAGCAGGATATCCTTTTTCGCCGTGTCCTCCACGCCCATCAGGTCATCTTTGTCAGCCACCTCTTCATACTGCAGCACAGACGAACAGTCAGCACCAGGACCCCAGCCCCATCCCGCATCCCACAGGACAGACAGGCAGCCAGGGAGGTTCACCACCACAGGGCTGCACCGTTGCCCCTTGCTTGTAATATGGGGGAGTCTGGCCCAGTCATCCCACTGAGTTCCCACCATGCCCCCCAGCCATGTTCCTGCCTGGGCTGGGGGCCCTGCACTCCCCAGCAGCATCGTGTCCCAACCTGGATCTTCATGAGGCGGCTGGTGTAGGACTTGAAGTAGGACAGATAGATCTTGCTCATGGTCTCCACGTACTGCTCCCGCAACTCCTGTGCCACCGCCCGCTCGTTCCCTAGCAAGAACTGGTAGAAAAACCTGGAGGACATGAGGCGAGGGGTGGTGTCTGTGAGTCTCCAGGAGCCTGCCCAGCTGCTGCCCCAAGCTGAGGAGGATGCTGGAAGGTCACCCTACCCCCAGCTCACCTGTACTTGAGCAGAGCATTCTGGGGAATCTGGTAGTTGGTCATGGGCTTGCGGAAGGAGTAGATCTTCTGCAGGATGAACTCCCGGATCTTGGTCACTGCCTGCTCAGGGAAGCAGAGAGATGTCATGGGAGTCATTGGGCACCATGAGGCTGCTGGAGCCCCCTGCGTAAGCAGGGAGGAGAGGAAAGTCCACATCTCCTCCAGGCAAAAATGAACAAGAAGAAAAGGATGGGGAAGACCCCTGACCCATGACCTTCAGGGAATGCTTCCCCCCGGCCTTTAAGCCTAGGTCACACGGGAGAGGGAGGATGGACCCTCACCTTGACCTTGAGCTTCTCCAGCACGTGCTGCACATCGGCGCAGGCCATTGTCTCACGGAAGGCCTGCTCCTTCACGTAGTTGATCTTGTTGTTGAGCTCGTGCAGCTGCTCTAGGAACTCCTGCTCTGTTACTGGCGCCTCCAGAATGGTACTGGAGGTGGGATAGAGTCATGAAAGGGCAGCCCAGAAGACACTTCCCTCCCCCAGCCCCTGGATTGCCCCAGGCCCCCACACCTGATCATGTTGGCAGGCACAACAAGCTCATCGACCAGCTGGCTGAGCTGGCTGCGCACAGCCTGGCGGTTCTTGAGGCGCAGGTTCATGGCCACTGACTGCTCCTGCAGTGTCTGGATCTCCGAGCTGATGCTACTCAGGTCGCACTGGAAGGTGCTCAGCATTTGCTCCATGCCCTGGG